GGTTGGTGCATAAACTTGGATTACTGTGATGTTGAAAGGTCTGCCTTGGATTCGTATTGAAATCATTATATCATTTTTTGGGATTGTATCCCAATACAGCTTTTCCCATTCTTTTGTTGTCTATGAGGGCTACTCCATTTCTTCTACAGGATTCTTGCCCACAATAGTAGATATGATAATTGTCTGAATTGAATTCACTCGTTCCCGTCCATTTTAGTTCACTGACGCCCAGGATGTCAATGTTGATTCTTGCCATCTCCTGTTTGACCACATCCAGCTTACCAAGTTTCATAGATCTTACATTCGTGGTTCCTATGCAGTATTTTTCTTTGCAGCATCGGACTTTCCTTTCACTTCCATGTTTGTCTGCAGCTGAGCGTCCGTTCGGCTTTGACCCAACCACTTCATTAGCTCTGGAGCTACTTGTCCTTGTCCTCCACTCTTCCTCAGGAACATGTTGGATGCCTTCTGACCTGAGGGGCTCATCTTCCAGCGTCATAGCTTTTATTTTATTTATTTATTAGATTTTTACCCGGCCCCTCTAGACCATGTCTACTCGCGACGGCTTACAAAATAAAACGGATCAGTATAAATTATATAGATACAGTGGTGCCTCGCACAAGGAGTGCCTGACACAACGATGAATTCACACAACGATGCCTTTTTCTGTCAAATTTGCTGCCTCACACAGCGATGTTTCCTATGGGGGATTTTCACACAACGATCTCCCTTTTCGCTCCTGTAAAAGTGTCTTACAATGTTTGGAAGCTGTTTTAAATGATTGCAATGGTTAGTCCACCTCCTGAAACCTATGCAAACTGATTTTGGTGTTGTTCTGACACTTCGTTAATTTATGATGATTTTTTGTTTTTTCCATTGGAAACCATTAGACAGACCATCCAATGGTTTCCCCATCATATTTCTCCTTCGCTGGCTGCATTGCATTGGCTGCCCATTTGTTTCCGCGTCAACTTCAAAGTTTTAATGCTTACTTATAAGGCCCTAAACGGTTTAGGACCTCAATACTTGGCGGAACGCCTCCTTCCACCAAGGTCTACCCGGATCACCCACGCGAGTCAGGAGGTGAGGCTGAGGAGCATGATGCCGAGAGAGGCCCGGAAGGAGAAGACACGGCGGTGGCTGTTCGCCTTTGGAACAATCTCCCTCCGGGAATTTGCGCGGCCCCTACGCTGGGCATCTTCAAAACCCAGTTAAAAACATGGTTATTTATTCAGACCTTCCCTACAGCCGATTCTTGATTCTCTTCTTATTGTCCTATTTTTTAGTTTATTCTAGTTGTTTTGTATTAGCTATGTATCTGTTATATTTTATTGTTTAATTTTATATTGGAAGCTGCCTAGAGTGGTCCATCGGTCCAGATAGGCGGGGTATAAATCAAATAAATAATAATAATAAATAGTGAAGGGGATTTAATACATAGCGCCGTCTTTTTCAAGGGACCAAAAGTAGTTGGGCAGTTCACTCAAAAGCTGTTTTATGGACAGGTGTGGGCTACATAGCGCCCTCTTTTTCAAGGGACCAAAAGTAGTTGGGCAGTTCACTCAAAAGCTGTTTTATGGACAGGTGTGGGCTATTCCTTCATTATCATCAGTTAAGCAGGTAAAAGGTCTGCAGTTGGTTCCAGATATGGCATTCACATTTGGAAGCTGTTGCTGTGATCCCACAACATGTGTTCAAAGGAGCTCTTGATGCAAATGAAACAGACTATCCTTGGACTGCGGGAGGAAAGAAAAAGAAAAGAAAAATCCATAAGACAGGTAGCAGGAACATTAGGAGTAGTATTCTGAGGAAAAAAAGAATGCACTGGTGAGCTCTGCAACACAAAAAGGCCTGGACGTCCAGAAAACAATGGTATCTGATTTTAGGATCCTTTCCATTGTAAAGAAAAACCCCTTCACAACATCCAGCTAAGTAAAGCACACTCTCCAGAAGGTAGGCATATTATCAAAGTCTACCATAAAGAGAAGACCAAATTCACAAGAGCAAATACAGAGGGTTCACCACAATGCAAACCATTTATAAGCCTCAAGAATGGAAAGGCTGGATTAGACTTAGCCAAAAAATAATAATCTTTAAGAGGCAGCCTAGTTTTGGAACAGCATTCTTTGGACAGATGAAACTAAGATCAACCTGTACAGAATGATGGGAAGAAGTAAGTATGGAGAAGTCTTGGAATGGCTCATGATCTAAAGCATACCACATCATATTTAAAACACGGTGGTGGCAGTGTGATGGCATATACATGCATGGCTTCCAGTGGCGCTGTGTCACTAGTGTTATTGATTAAATGACAGGAGACAGAAGCAGCCAGGTGAATTCTGAAGTGTATAGGGATATATTGTCTGCTCAGATTGAGCCAAATTCAGTGAAGTTGATTGGATAGTGTTTCACTTTACAGATGGACAGTAACTCAAAACATACTGTGAAAGGAACCCAGAAGCTTTTTAAGGCAAAGTAGTGGAATATTCTGCAATGGCTGAGTCAGTCGGCTGATCCCAATCGAGTATGCATTTCACTTGCTGAAGAAAACAACTTAAGGCAGAAAGAGCCATCACAAATTACAACTGAAGACAACTGCAGTAAAGGCCTGGCAGAGCATCACAAAGGAGGAAACCCAGTATTTGGTCATATCCATGCATTCAGGCTTCAAGCAGTCATTGCTTGCAAAGAATTCTTGACAAAGTATTAAAGATGAAGATTTTATTTATGATTGTGTTAATTTGTCCAATTACGTTTGAGCCCCTGAAATAAGGGGACTGTGTATGAAAATGGTGGCAATTCTTCAGTGTTTCATATATTTTTGTTCAACCAGCTGAATGAAAGATGAAAGTCTGCATTTCAATTGTATTTTGATGATTTCATTTCAAATCCATTGTGATGCTGTACAGAGCCAGAATTATGAAAATTGTGTCAGTGTCCAATTATTTCCAGATGTAACTGTAACTTAGACCAGAAACCACGCCTTCTTGGCAGGTGCTCCCCACCTGTGTATTAATCTCCCACCCGAAATATGCCTGGCCCCTTCATGGGGAATTTTCAAGAAATCTTTCAGAAGATGGCTGTTCCAAAGAGGCTTTTACAGATCTTGCACTATCAGAGCACAGAGGTGCTGTCAAAAGCTATCTGTTCTACCACCCTGTCTTATTAGTTGTTTTCACCTAGTCTTTTTTCTTAGTTTTTTTTTCATAATTTAAGTAGACTGATAGGTTTAATTTGATTTCTATGCTGTTACCATGTTGCGATTTAATTTAAAATGTTATTTCTTGTTTTATCATGTTGTGAACCATCAAGAGTGGCCTTGTAGCCAGATGGACGGTATAGAAATTGAACAAATAAATAAATAGTTTGTTTTTATTGAAGACAGATCAACTAGTGCTGAAGCTTCGAAGAGATGTACCAGTTGTATGAATATACAGTGGTGCCTCGCACAGCGATGTGAAACATCGCTGTATGGAAGTAAAAAAGCCATTGAAACGCATTAAACTACGTTTAATGCGTTCCAATTGGCACGTTTACTTACCGTACAGCGATGCCGGCAGCCATTTTCGCGCCCTCCCCTCGCAGAACGAGGGCGTGAAAATGGCTGCGATCAGCTGTCCAGCGGGTCCAAAATGGCCGCTGGAACAGCCGAAAGGGGCCGGGGCGCAGCGTTTCCGCGCCCTTGGTAAGCAAGGGGAGGGTGCGAAATCGCTGTTGGAAGCCCCGAAATGGCTGCGCGCAGCGTTTTCGCGCCCTCCCCTTGCTTACCAAGGGCGCGAAAACGCTGCACCCTGGCCCCTTTCGGCTGTTCCGGTGGCCATTTTGGACCCGCTGGACAGCTGATTGTCGGGTCGCAAAGCGAAGGTCGGTAAGCTGCTCGCTTACCGACCTTCGCTCTGCGATTTCCCACCTATACGGGCACCGTTTATCGCAAAAACGGCCTCGTAGAGCGAATTCATTGCTCTACGAGGCACCCGTTCTGCGAGGCACCACTGTATTGCCCTGCCAAATGCTGAGGTATACTACTGGAATCCTTTTTTTAGACTTGGGCCATAGATTTATATACAGCATACATGCTATAGTGTCAGTATGAAGATAGAATCAAGTGGAATGTCAATAGTATGTTTATGCTAAGAAATGAGCTGGTAATCACCCAGAGTTTCCTTACATGGTATTAGCCACCTAGAGTGGCCTTTTAGGCCAGATGGGCGAGGTATAAATCAAATAAATAAATAAATAAATAATATACTGCTGTCATTCCACTTGGTTCTACTGGTGCCCACACTCATGTATGCTGCAAGGATGTTGGCAAGTCTTTGGGTTCCCGCCTGAGTCTTTAAGTCCAAGTCCCAAGACCAAGTCTTTGGGTCAAAGTCCTGAGTCCCAAGCCTCGAGTCACGTGCTGGCATAAGAGCGCTGGTGTTATCTGTGAGGATTCTCAGTCATCTGGGTGAGGTTATCTGGCCGTTGAGTCAACCTAATAAGAAAGGAGTGCAGTTGCCATGACTCAGCTTCCAGATAAGAGCACTGGTGCTGCTCTCATGCCTGCCAGGCCGCCTGGCTGCCTCCTGGTGACAGTGGTGCCTGGGAAGACAAAGGTGGAAGTGCTGCTGCTGCCTCCTCTTCTGGTTGCAGAGTCCAAGAAGAGAAGGGCCGGAGCCAGCAGCAGCTACACCTTGGAGGGTGCCTCAGCCCTTCATCCCCCACTCTCTGAAAAACCCTCCCTTGGAAAAATGGACCCAAGTTGCAAGTCAAGTCCAAGTCTTTTAAAAAACAAAAGCAAAACTTTAAGTCCGATTCAAGTTGCTGGTGGGACTCAACATCAAGTCACAAGTCCCCCTCCCTGGTATGTTGTATAATAAATCTGTAGTCCAGGTATTCCATGTCTGAAAAGGGGGGGTTGTAATCCACAAAAATTCACCTACAATATATTCTAAAGGTGTCACAATACTTTTCCTTTGTTGTTGCAGAGACAAACTAATATGGCTACCTTTTTGAAAGCAAGATCACAACATTATCCTTTATACTCTGTGGTCACAATGACCAGATAGGCGGGATATAAATAGAATAAATAAATAAATAAATAAATTCTCTATCAAAAAAGTGCAGATAATGATATGTTATACCTGTTAAAATTGAATTTTTGTTTAAAACTTTCATTAGAATCATGTTCCTAGGACTGAAAAAATGGAACTAGATCAAGACTGGACAAGCGTGTACCCAGCTGCTGCTGCTTTTAAGCCTTCTGCTGTGCCCCTCCCTGTTCGGATGGGCTACCCAGTGAATGGTGTATCTCTACCAAAACAAGGCAATCTGGAACTTATAAAGGTAAAGTTTCATTTTGCTAACTGAAAGATATTGAATAAGGCAACGGTGACCAATTTGATAAGACATAATCTCTTAATCTACCACAAATATGAGGTTAGAATAATCAGCTTGTCTGTATATTAAAGAAACATACATTTCTTTTAGAAGTGTTTAAAGGGCCTCATGATTATGGCCTTAGAACAAACTAGTAGTCTTCATGCTCTTAGTAATTGTAAACCCTTAGTAATGATTAGTAGTAACCAGAGTAAACTTGTAGTTACTTCTAGGCAATTAACACTATGTCTCTAGTGCTGTTCAGCAGAGATTTCTAGAGATTTCTGTGTGTTTGTAAATCCCAAAATTCTCTAAGATAGATCTGTGACAGTTAAGAAGCTGTGTAACACGGATAGTATTCCTGGTGTTCTTTGTAGATGAAGAAGCAGTTTATGATTTCTCATGGTGCAGATGGAGATGGATATTCTGCAGATGGCGCAGCATTATTAATGGTAGCAGTTCAGATTCTTGTAAACCTTGTTTCAGCTTTGTTTACATTTGGTTGACATGGAGCCTGACTTGAATAGTGGGACTAGTCTGTTATCCTCACATGACATTATTCTCTAGTGAACTGTGCCTCTGTTATTGTATTGTTAGAGTAATGCTGTTGGGATCAAGCAGCATAAGAAAGAGAGGCCACCTTAATTTTAGAGCTATCCCCACACAGCACTTGGGTGCCCAGGAAATTTCTTTTTGTGGGCAGTTGCAGGTTTGCAACGCTGCTTTATGAGTACAGACTGAATCTTTTTTTCTGATACAACTTTTTCAGATCCCCAATTTTTTGCATCTGACGCCAGCTGCCATCAGGAAACACTGTGCTGCTCTTAAAGGTAAGCTTCGGATTTTTTTTCCAGTGATGACAAATACCAGGGAACTGTTAAGATAAATTTAGTCCTGGCAAACTATTCTGTTTCCTCTCAACATTTGAGTTCTGTTTAAGAAGCAAATTAAGGATAGGAATTTGTAGGAAATTTGTACAACTTCAGCTGCTCTGGAACATTACAGCCCAAGTGGGGATTGCAACCATTCATAGAGAGTATGTGGCTCTTTTGTTGGTTTGGTCATCTTGGTGTAGAGTCCATCTCTGTTGGTTCTCCTGGTCCTCTCAGTAGCTTTCATTACTATCAACCTTAGTATCCTTTTGGGCCGCCTCTCTGGGATGGGACTTGGAAGTATTGTTTCACAGTTGCTCCAGTCCTGGAGGAGAGAATTAAAAAAGTGGTGCTGAGGGAATAGTGTTCAAGACACTGGCTATTGCCTTATAAAATTTTTGAGGGTTCAGTTCTATCCCCCACATTGTAAAACTGCTGAAATGGAGTACCAAAGAAGTAAATGGTAAAGGTATATGGGGTAAACTGTGAATTTATAGGAGTGTACTCCCCACCCCCTTTATTACACAAGTTACTTTTCAAGCTTTTCCTATACATTTAAACAATTGGCATATTGACCTAGTGCATTCTTTTTGACTACTTCTCATAGAATCAAGAAATGCAGTTTTGTAGGCTAACTTGTGCTGACTAGCAGTTGCTGTTACTAAAAAGCTTGCTGTGATTTTACTCCACCTGTTCACTCTTCAGACTTCTGCACAGAATGGCCAGCTGTCCTGGATAATGATGAGAAATGTTTGCAGCATTTTCCCATTGAAGTTGATACTGTAGACTATGTTTCTGCTGGCCCATCCATTCGTAATGCTAAAGCAAGAGTGGTGACTCTAAGAGTAAGTAAGCTCCAAGAGATGTTACACAAAACTCTGTAAATGGTACGGAAGATCTAATAGCTTCAAAGAAGAATGACTGCTGCTTTCTTTAAGAATTAGAAGCACTACCTGGGTAATTAGTTTCTTAATTGTAGTGCAGTGCTTTTTTGCTTGCTCTGTGTGTCTGCTTTGGTTCACCAAAGGGAAAAAAAATCTCTTGAGTATTTTAAATGAATTACAAAAAGCAAGTGGCTTTGGAAAGTGTGTTTTATCTCTCTCGGCTTGTTGACAGGGAATTTCACAGAGTTTGAAAATTCCTTGTCAGTGCGTCCCATCATATCAAAACAGTCTAAATTGCCAACAACAATGAGTTTGAATTTTTTCCCAACATCAATTTTCAATATACCTTTTCTGTTTTAAGGAAAAAAAGATCTTAAGGTTTCTGGTTAAGATCTAAAGAAGAGACTGGAGCCAGTGAGAGATGGGAAGAATTAGGATGAATGAATTTCAGAAGCTTGGAATTTTTTAAAGAAGCAACTGTGGCATTTATGTAGTGATTCTGTTTTTAATAATTCTGATAATAATCCTGGGAAGTATGTTGCTTTGTTTCTCTTGTGGTAGATATGGAGCAATATCTTGTCCTGTCCTCAGCTAGTTACTTCTGCTAGTAAATGTCTTACTTCATTTAGATGTCTGACAGGAAAAGAATGTGCCTTTTTCTCCCAGATAGGTCTTTTGAAATAGGCTGCACGTAAGATGGCCTGAGTGTTGATTATTAAACATGAAACAGCCAGCCATATGGCAGTTCCTAGCACTAATGATCGGATCAGACGTGATTGATAATCCTGTCTTGTGGTGGTGTTCTATTAATCCTCTGCCAACGTAATCTGCTGCGAGGGTTGGGCAGGGAGGGTTTGAAGGTAAAAAAAATGGATGGCATTGAGACTGCTTTGAATGGGGACTGCATCATACTTCTCAGTGATTGATAAAGCTGTATTTGGATCCATTGTTCTAGGAAAAAAGAGGAAAATACCAAGTTCTTCCAAACAGAAGAAACCCCTTGCACATAGGAAGGGAGCACGTTGCACTGAAAACATCTAATTTATCCTTGTCCCTGACTTCCCTGTCTTTTCTGTACAGTATAGGGAGTGTTTTGTATGGAGATACGTTTCTTTATGTGAGCACTGATTTAAGTCTGGAAGTATGGTCCAGCTTACCACCTGTTGGTTTGTCACCTCCTTGTGGTCATAGTGACCAGAGCAGATCTGGGTACATGTCATCTGTTTTGGAATTGTCTTGTCAAAAGGTTTAAGCATCCTTAAGGCACTTACAAATTCTCACAACCCAGCCAGGGTTCAGAGTAGAGTCAGAGTTGAGGTAGTGTGACCTGTCAGTTTCCTGCACCACCAGGTGGAGGCTGGTTGATATGGCGACTCTGGCAGGGCAAACATGAGAGCCCCACCACTTGCCCCTTTAGCTACCTCTGCCTCTATGAAGACATTTCACCAGGGGCCTTCTTCCAGCTGGTATTCAAAGTCCCCCTCAGCGTAGAACTTCAGCTTCTCTGTGGCTTCTCCCCAGGTTTCTTCCTCATCTGAAGTAGCTTTATTATCTCCCATTGTCTCTGAGGAAGCATTCCCTTTCTGTTCCCTCTCGCTGACCTCCAGCTCCTGTTTCTCTTCCCTTTTTATTTCCAGCTCAACCTTCACCACTTTTTTCCCCAGATTAACTTGGTTACCAGGTCCTTTAGCAGCTGACAGCTTTCATTCTACAAAGCTTTCTGGGGTCATCACGTTGTCTCTCTTTCAGGGCCCTCTGAATGGGGTTGAGTGAGGGCCAACAGCCCACGCAGAGCACTAACAGTGACCCCCTAACAGGGACCCCGATCATTTAAGGCAGGGATGGGGAACCTGGTGTCCTCTCAATGTTTGAAATGCAGATCTTGTAATCCTACAGACTCCTTCAAACTTTTAACAGATCTAGGAGAGCCCATAAGTATCCATTTCTTCTCTCAGTCTCCTGAAAGATTATCCCAGAGCTGTGTCAAAAGGAAGATTGTAATGATAAATAAAAATATGCCCTCAAATCAGTTCTGACTTATGGCAACCCTTTTCAGGATTTTAGTTAGAGAATACTCAGAAATGGTTAATCAGTCCCTTCTTCTGGGGGTGCCCTGGGATTGTGCTACTTGCTCAAGGCTGGCTCTACTTGCAAGAAGCACAGTGGGGAATTAAACTCCCAGCTTCCAGCTCTGCAGCTAGATACCCTAAACCACTGAGTTATCCAGCCAGCCCCAAACAATGTAGTTGATATTTTCTGAGAAATCTAGAATCCGGTTGGTATCATGTCAGTTTTTCATATTGGCCTGAAGCTGGATTTCCATTGTATGTGGAGTAAGGTAAAGGTAAAGGTTGCCCTTTTCAATTTGTCTTCAAGGGGACACTCAGGCAAGAGGTAAGCTCTGTTTTGGGAGCACCTCTTCTCTGGGAGAGGTATATTTTTCTTCCTTCTCTTTGTTCTCACT